ATTCCCTAGTCCCTTCGGTCCCTGATTTTCCCTCGAATATCGTCACAAACCATAAACTCCATGGCCAGAATTATCTCCAATGATCTCAATTTGTATTCATGTATATTTGCGTCAGAGGGAAGGATGGACATCTCACCGGCAAAATTGTGGCTCCGGAGACTGCAGATCCCAAACACTGATCCTGGAAGACTGATGATCATCTTGTTATGTCTTGGCTGATAAATTCCATGACCACTGAAGTTGGAGAAAGTTTTCTGCTTCACAAGACAGCCAAGGACATATGGGAGGCTGTACGTGAAACATACTCAAACACGGAAAATACTTCTGAACTGTTTGAGGTTGAGACAAGATTGTATGACCTCAAACAAGGAGATATGAGTGTCACTCAATATTTTAACACCCTCACACGTTGTTGGCTGCAATTAGATCTGTATGAGGCCTATTCCTGGAAATGTGCTGAATATTCTGCTTTGTATAAGCAGATTGTTGAGCAGAAAAGGACTATTCTTCTTGGCCTAAATAAGGATCTAGATGAAGTCAGGGGGAGAGTCATGGGAATCAAGCCCTTTCCTAACCTTAGAGAGGCCTTTGTAGAAGTTAGAAGAGAGGAAAGTAGAAAGAAATTAATGCTGACAGAAAATAAACCTGCAGTGGAAGGCTCGGTTTTGTTCACCCACAATTCCTCTCAACCCAATAGGTCTGGAAAAGGGCGCCTTGGTGTGACCATTGCAAGAAACTTGGTCATGTCATGGCTACTTGCTGGAAATTACATGACAAACTAACAGATTGGAAGCCATCCCATACTCGGTTTGAGAGAGAAAACCGTGCAAATGCTGCAGTCACCACAAAGAACAATCCTTTCACCAGAGAGCAGATTGAAGCATTGCAGAAAATGCTGAGTCAAGCATCGAGTTCCGGACAACCATCTCAAGCACCTGCCGAACCACACACTAGTCTCCTTGCACACCAAAGTATCTTATCCTATGCCCATATTGTCCAAAATAAATCCTCAAAGCCATGGATAATCGACTCATGAGCCTCAGATCACATGACTAGAGACATCAACCTACTCAAAAATTACTGGCCATGCACTAGCAGTTCTGGAGTCCGAATAGCTAATGGCTCTTTATCACCAGTGGCAGGAATCAGATCAGTTCAATTGACAAAGGACATTCTGCTTTCTTCTGTCCTTTATGTTCCCAACTTGAACTGTAGTTTAATTTCCATCAGTCAACTTACTCGTGACCTCAATTGCGTGACTAAGTTTTATTCCAATCTTTGTGATTTTCAGGCAGTGGATTTGGGGAAGGTGATTGACAGGGCTGAGATGCATAGTGGTCTGTATTTGCTCAAAGAAAATAATCTCCTTGGTAGACAAGTTCAATCGTCAGGTTTTGGTCCTACATCAAATTCAGTCAAGTGTGTTCTAAATTATGTGTCTGTTTCCAATTCAGTTTCAATTGAAAGTCAAG